GGGGCAGAGAGCGGGAGATACAGAATCTGAAGTGGGCTGCAGGCTCTGAGCTGTCAGCACAGAGCCCAACCAGCGGCTTGAACTCCCGAACTGCGAAATCATGACTTGAGCCTAAGTCGGACACTCAGCCGACTGACTGAGCCATGCAAGTGCCCCGAATGTTTATTTATTTTTGAGAGAGAGAGGAAGAGAGTGTAAGCAGGGGAGGGGCAGAGAGAGAGAGAGGGGATCTGAAGTGGGCTCTGTGCTGTCAGCAGAGAGCCTGATGTGGAGCTCCAACCCACCAACTGTGAATTCATGATGTGAGCTGAAGTTGGATGCTTAATCATTTGAACCACCCAGGCACCCCATTTTTAAATTTAAATTAAATTAAATTAAATTAAATTAAATTAAATTAAATTAAAATTTTTTTTTTAGAAAGCTTGCACACCCACAAGCAGGGGAGGGGCAGAGGGAAGGAATCTTAAGCAGGCTCCACGGTCAATGTAGAGCCCAACACAGAGCTCAGTCTCACGACTATGAGATCATGACCTGAGATGAAAACAAGAGTCAGATGCTTAACCTACTGAGCCGTGTTTTTTGTTTTGTTTTGTTTAATTAAAAAAAATTTTAAGTAGGCTCCACGCAAGAGTCACATGCTCTACCCACTGAGCTAACCAGGCACCCCTGTTTTTTGAGTTGTATGAGTGCTTTGAATATCCTGGATATTAAACCCTCGTCAGATAGATGACTTGCAAATATTTTCTCCTTTCTCATCGGTTGCTTTTCACTGTGTTGATGGTGTCCTTTGAGGTATAAAAGTTTAAAATTTTGATGTGGTTTACTTTTTTTCTTTTGTTGACTGTGCTTTGGGTGTAATATCCAAGAAATCATTGCCAGTTCTAATGTAAACTTTTTCTCCTATGTTTTCTGCTAAAAGTTTTTAGGTTTAGGTCTTTGTATTTGATCTGTTTTAAGTTAATTTTGCACATGGTGTATAGTAAGTCTTCAACATCATTCTTCTGCATGAGGCTATCCCATTACCCCAGCATCATTTGTTGAAAAAACTGTCATTTTCCAATTGAATGGTCTTAGCATCTTTGTCAAAATCAATTGACCATATATGGGAAGGTCTATTTTTGTGCTCTCTATTCTATTACTATGGTCTTTATGTCTGTCTCCACCACTGTTTTGATTATCATAGCTTTGTGGTACGTTTTAAAATCAGGAAGTGTAAGTCCTCTAACTTTTTTCGTCTTTTTCTAGATTGTTTTGACTAATCAGTGTTCCTTGAGATTCCATATGAATGGCATTAAATCTGTGTATCACATTGGGTAGGTAGTATTGGCATTTTAACAATATTGTCTTCCAATTCATGAACACAGATGCCTTTCCATGTATTTGTGTCTTCTTTAATTTCTTTCAGCAACATTTATAGTTTTTAGTTTACAAGTCTTTTGCCTCCTTGGTAAAGTCTGTTCCTAAGTATTTGATCCTCTATAATGCTATTATAAATGGAATTATCTTCTTAATTTCCTTTTTTGATTGTTCATTGTTAGCGTGTAGAAAAATAACTGCTTTTCATGTATTGATTTTGTATCCTTCCAACTTTGCTGGATATGTTTATTAGTTCTAACAGTATTTTTGTGGAATCTTTAGGGTTTTCTACATATAGAATCATGTCATCTGTGAACAGAGATGGCTTTACTTATTCTTTTCCAATTTGAGCTCCTTTTATTTCTTTTTCTTGTCTAACTGCTTTGGCTAGAACTTGTAATACTCTGTTGGATAGAATGGCAAATGCAGGCATCTTTGTTTTGTTCCTGATCTTAGGGTACGTTTTTCAATCTTTCACCATTACATATGCTGTTAGCTGTGGGCCTATCATATATGGCCTTTATTATGTTGAGACAGATGCCTTTTATTCTTAGTTTGTTGCGTATGACTGAGATGTAACTTAACATACCATACAATTCATCCACTTAAAGTATACAATACAGTGTTTTTTAGTATATTCACAGGGTCCTTACACCTTTTTTACCCTCTGCTTATCTCAGACTCGTTGGATAATAGTTTTCATGTGCATGAAGACTTGCTGGAAGGTAGAAGGCTGCATCTTTTTGTAATTTTAGAACATCATACTTTTGGAATAATGTCACCCATTGTTTGAAGAGTCGGGACTCATTTCTTTTGAACACTGACTCAGTGCTGACTTCATATGAATATGCAACTTAGGCTCCTGTGGGGCTGCTCCCAGTGTCATTGACACCTGCAGGTGACATAGCTCCCAAGTGTGGGTAATGGATCCTCTGGGTGCTTTACCCTTAGTTCATCCACTTGGATTTGCAAGTTGACCCTAGAGTTTATGTAAAGGCTTCCAGGCCATCCACTGGTAACCACTGTCCCATCTATGGGGCAGAGAGTTTATAGGAGGGTGTTGAGGGCTAGCTTCTGGAGGTGGAAAAAGCTTCCACAGTGCAGAAGCCTAAGCAAGTTGTGTTTGAATACTTGTGCCTTAGTAGTTCCTCATTCCCATGGAAGCTTGTGGAATTAAACTCTTGTTGCTGTGGCCAAGCTGTTTGACCTTCCCTATTTGCATTGACCTTAAGTGGTCAAGGGTCATCTAGGAAACATGTGCTCCAAACACAAACCCTCATCTTAGTGTCAGGAAGCCTGCATGCCAGGGATGGGATCACATGTAGTATTGAGCAGAGGTTCAGGCCCCTCCAAACAGGGCAGGGTAAGTGGGCCAACATCCAAGGCAGGGAAATCCCTGGTTATGTTGTACATGATTATGTTGATTAATGACTTCAGGGCAGTTGAGGTCATTTGCTGCTTGGTCAGCTGAGGCATTAAGAGAATAGAGACCAGCCTTTGGGTGGCCTCTACCATATAAAGTAAGGAAGCTGATTATTTGGGCTGCTGTTTTTCCAGGAAAAACAGGTTTTAATCTAATGGGAATCCTGCCAGCAGTCTTACACAGCTTCTCCCAGTGGTTCTTCAAGGTCCTTTTTTGGCAGGAGGTAGCAGGCAGTTTGAGAGCCTGGGTCCTTTGAACTGTGCAAGTCCCTCTTTGAAGTGCTGTTCCTTTCCCTTCCCTCCTCTTTCCCCTAACTTCTGCAGGCCAAGTTATCAGGGTCATGTGTTGGTTGGTGTCCTTTCCTGGTTCCTGCCAGCATGATGGGGTAGCAGAGGAAGATGTGTGGGTCACAGCCTTCCTTCCTTGCCTGATCCGATCCTTTATTTGGATGGTAGAGGCTGCTCCCCCAAAACCCAGTGGCACAGCCAGCCAGAGAAGGGCAAAGGGGCATTACTGTAGATGAAGGACTTGCAGAGACAGTAGCACCATGTTGTGGGAACTCTGGTAGTGGTAGAAACAGGTACATAGGTGCATGGAGCATGTCAGGGGTAAAAAAGAAATAGTCCAAGATGGGGAAATGTATGTGGAAGTGTTCCTTGCAGAATCATTTACAGTAGGGAACAGTTGGAATGTAAATGTATAGCCACTTGGAAGTGGTCAAAATAAGACAACCCTGTGTAATTGCTTTAAACATTTTTTTGTGTGTGTGGTAAAATATACATAACAATATTGACCATTTTAACCGTTTTAAAGTGTAAGTTCAGTGACATGACCTGCAACCGTAAAGTTAAATCTCAGCCCTCTTGGTTGGTGTTTTTAGTATTCTAAGCTTCTCAACTACCTGTTGGCACTCACATGTAGTTGATATCAGGCATCATGTGTGAGTTTCTACTATTTTACTCTTAGAAGGTAATGAGTTGTTTCTCATATTTAAGTTCTTGGGGAAATACCTGTTTCCTTGTACACTATAAACAGGCTAGAAAACCCTGTTCATTTCCTTTTCTTTCTTTTTTTTTTTAACATTTATTTATTTTTGATAGAGACAGAGCACAAGTGGGGGAGGGGCAGAGAGAGAAGGAGACACAGAATCCGAAGCAGGCTCCAGGCTCCGAGCTGTCAGCACAGAGCCCGACCCAGAGCTTGAACTCACAAACCATGAGATCATGACCTGAGTCGAAGTCAGACGGTTAACCGACTGAACCACCCAGGTGCCCCTGTTCATTTCCTTTTCTGGCCTGCCCACTCATGAGTGCCACTGAGACATCTTTGACAGAGGTGTGCAGCATGGGCCCTGCCTTGCTGTGGGTAGCTTAGTTGTTTAGGTACCTGGGTAGGAGGAGTGTGTGTGGGGGTGTCTCTCAGGGACTTAAAACACCCTCCCCCTAACATTGGATGATCAAGGAGGTCAGCAGTGAATGTATGCAGTGAGGGTAATGAGTTTGGAGATACCCAGAGAAGAAGCCCCGTGGGAGGGGTCTTGACAATCCTGTGTGAAAGTACATTACATGGCTGTACTTTTTCCATGTCTTGGTCCTTGTTGAAGAGTGGCATGTCCCCATGGGCTTGATCTTGTATTGCTCTGCCACGTACAGGATTGAACTACTTACCTTAGACACTTCTTAGGGACAGATTCCACCACCTTAGCCGGAGCCAGAAACCAAGGGACTGGAAGCAGTGATTTCAGGAAACTTTCCTCTGAAACTGAAGGCAGTGGTTCCTGGCTACAGATACCACCTCTTGTTTCTCCAGCTACTTAAGGCATTGAGATGATTTTCATTAGAAAATCAAAATGTGGGCCCCCTGGGTGGCTTAGTCAGTTGAACATCTGACTCTTGATTTTGGCTTGGAGTCATGATCCCAGGGTCGTGGGATCGAGCCCCATGTCAAGCTCCATGCTGAGTGTGGAGCCTGCTTAAGATTCTCTCTCTCCCTCTTCATCTGCTCCTGGCCTGATTGTTCTGTCTCTCTCTCTGTCTCTCTGTCTCTCTCTCAAATTAAAAAAAAAAGAAGGAATCAAAATGTGAAGGTTAAGAACCACTAGTGTGTTAAGAGTCACTATATTCATTGCTTGTCCTATTTTTCTTTTCCCAAGAAATATTTTAGAAGGGAGATACATAATCATTTGCTAACAAAAACTTTTATGTGTGTGATTTTTTTGAAGGTACATGGGAATAGGACTCTCAGCTCAAGGCGTCAACATGAACAGACTTCCTGGTGAGTCACTGGTTAAGAGAATATTTGTTTTGCTCTCCTTATCCATTCTGTGATGAGAATCATGGTGGCAGCCAAGAAGCTAGAGAGAGCTTTTCTGGCTGCCCACTCAAAGCTAGGCCATTGGGTGGAAGATCCTGAAAGTTGGCCATGGCTGGGATGGTATGGGCTTCCATTCCAAAAAATTAATTGGCAAGTGATTGTCATTCATGGAATTTGCAGTCAAAACCAAGCAACCTGAGCTTGCTCCTAGTGGGGATATGCCTTAGTAGCTCTTCCTCCCATTGACCTTTGACCATCCTGGGACTCTGGCAGCATATATGGAGAGGAAGGCTATTGCCAACACTGGCTTTTTTGTTACTTTACCATATTAATGATCAGAGTCTTTAAGTGACCTCCCACTTGGGTTACAGTTGAGGCAGTTTTTTTCCTTTTTTTTTTAAATGCTTATTTATTTTGAGAGAGGGAGAGAGAGCATGTGAACAGAGAGGGGCAGAGAGAGAGAGAGAGACACACACACACACACACACACACACAGAATCCCAAGCTGGCTTCTTACTGTCAGCACAGAGCCCGATGCAAGGCTTGAACTCATGAACTGTGAGATCATGACCTGAGCTGAAATCAAGAGTTGGACACTTAACCGACTGAGCCACCCTGGCGCCCCGAGACAATTTCTTAATAAATAAGAGGATTTGTGCAAGACTTAGGTTGGCAGTCAGCAACCTCAGATTTGAGGAATGCTCTGGGCCCCACAGATGGTCCTTCTTTACTACCTAAGCACCTTTCAGCTATTTTCTGCCCAGTGGCTCATGCCTAGTCCTGGGCTGTGTCTAGTTGAGGTGATAGAAACCTCTCCCAGAAGCTGATGAGTTCCAGAAGATGGTCCTAAGTCCATTTGTCCCTTCAGTGGCATAAGTGACATGGTACAAGCTGCCCCAACACCAGCATGGAGACAGGCAAAGTCCCTATGTTTTGGCCCTGGCCCTCTCTAGTGTTTGTGCCTTGGACACAAGAAGGCAACTGTTTTTTTCCAAAGAGAGAGCAGCACTTAAACGTTTCATCTTTTCCCGTCTATGTTTAATATCACTCACAAATTTTTTTTCTCATTGACTAATTTCAAATACTTGAAATCTACACTTATTCAGGATTCAGCTAATTGTCAGGAGTCTGACATTTTTTTAGCTTTGATCTGAGTAAAAACTGTCCTTGAGTTATTAACCAGAGTGCGTGTGGCATGTTTGGCTTTTGTGTAGCATGCAGCTGTGATCTTTGTTATGTAAGCCACTGGCCTGGGCTGACTACATGTGTCTATAGTGTTTGTAGCTCTGCCTCTTAGTAACCAAGGAGCTTAGAAAAATAATTCACCATCAAGGGTAAACTGATTGTTAATCTTTTTCGTATTCCAGATGTGCTCTTTGAACTTTTGCACTGCTTTAGTGGCAGAGAAAAGAGGCTTTTATAGGCTTTCATACAGAAGTAACTATTATAATCTGTTATTACACGGCACTTAAGCAACCATGAACACTGACTGGTTAAATGAATTTTTGTTAATCCACAGAAAAGAATACAATGCAGCCATGAAGAGAATGAGGAGGCTTTTTAGGTACTTATTTGGAGCAATCTCTAGAATGTATTGTTAAGTTGAAAATATAAGGCATAGAACAGAATATAATATGCTACCAGATATGTAAAAATAAAAAAGGCAAAATGACCATACCTATACCTGCCTGTACTTGTACCTGCTTGTACATGCGTAAGATACCTTTGGAAAGTTACAGGAAAACTTGTAGTATTGGCTGTCCCTTGGGAAGGGACAGGGTGGCTAGAGATAGGACTGGGAAGGAAATTTTCCACTTTCAAAGTTTTCACATTTTCTTTCTTGTGAGTATATTATCTGTTTAAATAGAAATAAAGCAAAATGAACAAAAGCAAATGCGTTTCTATCAAGAAATCTTGAAGTCTGTCTTTCAGGTGGTTTTGGAGTGCAGTCTTTTACCATGTGCTAGGCATGGTATTGTAAGTTCCACATTCGCATCCTTCTTTAGTAAGAACCGTTTTTGCATGGCTCATTGGGTTTGGGATCCATGGAGTGGAGCAGATTGGGGGTGGGGAGTGCTTCAAGGTCTACCTGGGCTGATCTGAATCTCTTTTGAGTTGGAGCCATATGGAGCTGGCTTGGTCTGTTTGCCTTGTTCATATGATGGGGTTTTTGACTCCCTCTGGGCCTGTTGGAGGCCAGCTGCTGATCATGTGCTTTGACATTGGTTTTTCTTGTTTTGTTTTGTTTTTTAATGTTTATTTATTTTTGTGTGTGTGAAAGAGAGAGAGAGAATGAGCAGAGGAGGGGCAAAGATATAGGGAGACAGAGGATCCGAAGTAGGCTCCAGGCTCTGAGCCATCAGCACAGAACCTGACATGGGGCTTGAACTCGCAAACTGACTGAGCCAACTGACTGAAAGTTGGATGCTTAACTGACAGAGCCACCCAGGAACCCCTTGGTGTTGTTAATACAACATTGTAGGGAAATCCATTTTGGGCCCTTGTGAAGTCAGATCCTGTCCAGGCACAGGGTGTGGGCCAGTAGGGAGAAGGGGCTTAGAGACAGTGGATGAGGTGTTAATCCCCGCACTAACACATCAGGAGAGTTGGCACCTTTTTTAGCATCCCTCTCTGGTGGATGTCTTGTTTGGCAAGAGAAAGGGGCCTCTGTGGGTATTGCTTCTGTTTTCATTTCACTCTGCCTGCCAGCGCCTGAGGGCTTTCCTTCCTGCCCTGATAATCTCCCTGATTATTCCTTAAGGTGGAAAGTAAGAATCAGATTGCAGCTAGATAGGGATTCTTCCTGGGAAGGATGGATACCTCTGGCTTTCCCAGCTTACAGGGCTGGCTAAATGGCTGGGCAGAGCTAGTACTGGACAGATGTAGGGATAGAGGGGTGGCACTCTTAGGAATGATGGTGGGCCTGCCATTGTTCATCTCATTGCTGGATTTGGAAGATGAGAATCCCATTTGGCACTTGCCATTTTCTGGGATCACTTTTTTCTTTTTTGATGGGGGGGTGTTAATGAGCATACATCCTCCATAACTGAAAGTATCATCATTCATAAACAGTTGGACCTGAAAGTACTAGCATGTATTCCAGCAGGGACATGATATGGAGGATGACAGTAACTGAGGCCTTTCTGCCAGTTACTTCTGATTTCCAAGAGACCCTTGGTTGCAGTGAAGGCTCTTTAGACTGTTTGGATGTATGGATGGTAGGAGGGGAGTGATGATGATGGTCTAGGCTGGGTCTGGAATTTGAGACTTTGGTGTTAACTTCAGATGAGATGTTTGAGAGTATATGTAACTTCTTGGTAGATACAGGTGTATTTGGTGGAGGGTAGTGGTTGGGGTGGTTACTGCAGCTTCACAGTGGTGTTGAGAGACAAATAGGAGTTTGCCAGGTGGGTCTGGGTACAGTAAGGCCTGTGAGTAGATCTATAAGTTGTCTAGTGCAATGAGATGGCTTCCTGGTCACAGTCAGGATGAACCCGTTGAGGGAAGAGTCTTATGTTCCTTGTCAACGGGACTGGACATCTTTATTTAAGGAGTGCGGGCTGCAGGAGTATTTTGAGCATAGACAAATGTGATCAGATTTGCTAATTGTACAGGAGACCTTCTAGAGGGGTAGAGGCTGAGCTTGGCCTCCTGGGCAGTAAGAACTGTTAAGAGCTTAAGCATGTGATGGGACTTCAGGAGGTGCTAGATGATGGTTTAAAAAAAAAAAAAAAAAAAGGATTCCTTTCCCTTATTCTGAAATATTTAACTGGAAGCATTTAATCAGAAGTGAACAGTTATATTTATAAATGCCTTAAGTGTGTATTTTGAGATAACACAGTATATCATGTTTAGTTAGGAAGACTCCTACTAGGTCATTGGGAGGGGTTCCTTATTTTCATGGCTATATGTAGATTACTTTCAATTTGTAAGTTTAGAAAAATTTATCAGTGAATCCGTCAGGGCTGAGTGATCTTTGGGGGAGGACGTTTTTTGAAAAACTCCCTTCCTGTCTTGTTAGTTTGTTCACGTAACTTTCTTGTGGCATCACTTTCAGTATATTGTGCTTTGGCCATCTGTAATTCTCTTTATAGGAAAATGGCTATGATTTTGATTAATTATCAAAACCTATAAAAAATCTCCATCATCTTTTAGATTAATTGAATCCATTTTGTTAATAAATTTTTTTTAATGTTTATTTTTGAGAGAGAGAGAGAGAGTGCAAGCGAGGAAGGGGCAGAGAGAGAGGGAGACACAGAATCCAAAGCAGGGTCCAGGCTCTGAGCTGTCAGCACAGAGCCCATTGTGATGCTCGAACTCATGAACTGTGAGATCATAACCTGAGCCAAAGTCAGACGCTTAACTGACTGAGCCACTCAGCATCCCTTGTTTATTTTTAGAGAGAGAGAGAGAGAGAGAGAGAGAGAGCGCGTGAGTGGAAGAGGGGCAGGGAGAGTGGGAGACAGAATCCCAAGCAGGCTCCACACTCTCAGCGCGGAGCTAGATATGAGGCTCGATCCCACGAACCGTGAGAGAGGAAGAGAGGGAGAATTCCAAGCAGGCTCCATGCTGCCAGCACAGAGCCCAACTTGGGGCTTGAACTCAATGAAACTGTGAGATCATGACCTGAGCCTAAACCAACAGTCGGATGCTTAAGTGAGCCACCCAGGCACCGCGATTCTGACTTTTCTATATCCTTGCCAATACTTGTTATTTTCTTTTTGTTTGATGTCCAAGAAGTATTTTTAATTTTAACTTTTTAATATTTTAGTTAATATACAGTGCAATATTAGTTTCAGAAGTAGAATTCATTGTTTCATTACTTATATATAACATCCAGTGCTCATTACAACAGATGCCCTACTTAATACCCATCACCCACCTGGCCCATCTCCCACCCTCCATCAACCCTCAGCTTGTTCTCTATTGTTAAGAGTCTCTTGTGGTCAGGGCACCTGGGT